GAATTTAGTACATTACAATGTTGTGCAACCACCAGCTCGAACAACTTGCCCAAAATTTATATTACCCAAGGGACTATCCCACAGCCATTATGCGGTCACCTACCCCCACCCTTCCCCCAGGCCAATCCCCTATTAGTTCCTAATCCTCTTTCGGTCTCTGTGGACTTACTGTTGTATTTCATAGGAACAGAATTAACGCAACCTGGTTTCTTTTCCCCCAAACATCATGTTTTTGAGGCACATCCACGCTGTGTTATTTTTCATTCCTTTTTATGGCTGAATGATGTTCCATTCTATGTAACTACCACATTTTGTGCAGTCATTTACTCACCGATGGGTATTTGGGCTGTTTCTCCCTATTCACTCTTCATTATTGCGAATAGTGCTGCCACGAACTTTTGCGTACATTTATCTGAACATCTGTCTTTAGGTTTTACGGGGATATACCTAGAAGTGGAAGGTCTCGTCATATGGTTAATTCTACGCTTAGCTTTTTGGGGAAATGCCAAACCATTTTCCACAGAGGCAGTGCCACTTTGCATTCCCACCGGCGATACAAGAGGGCTGAAATTTTACATAGATAGATACTCTACTAGAAGTAAAAACTAATGCATTTTTATTTTTATTTTTTTTTAACGTTTATTTATTTTTGAGACAGAGAGAGACACACAGCATGAACGGGGGAGGGGCAGAGAGAGAGGGAGACACAGAACCGGAAGCAGGCTCCAGGCTCTGAGCCATCAGCCCAGAGCCTGACGCGGGGCTCAAACTCACGGACTGTGAGATCGTGACCTGAGCTGAAGTTGGACGCTTAACCGACTGAGCCACCCAGGCGCCCCTTATTTTTATTTTTAATGTTATTTTAAAATTTTTTAAGTGTTTATTTATTTTAGAGAGAGAGGGAGGGAGGGAGGGAGGGAGGGAGCACAAGTGGGGGAGGGGAAGAGAGAGAAGGAGACCCAGAATCCGAAGCAGGCTCCAAGCTCCGAGCCACCAGCACAGAGCCCGATGTGGGGCTCGAACCCACAAACCGTGAGATCGTGACTTGAGCCGAAGTCGGATGCTTGACGGACTGAGCCACCCAGGTGCCCCTGATTATCAAATTTTATAATATACGACTTATTATCTCTAATCGCAAAGTGGGCTGGTCAGCACCCACAAAGAGCTCTCATGCCTTTGACATCTTCCGCCTTCTTTTTTGTTTGCTTTTGCTTAGTTTCTTTAGAATTTCTCAATCCTTCCAGGTTGTAATCTCCTAAAATTTTAATAACAATGTTGTTTCCAAATGCCGCACTTAAAGTTTACATTTTAACCGTCCCTTCATACCATTTTCTGTGGAACACAGCATCCCTGCCCAGCACCCCCACCCCTGGCCCTGAGGACGACTGTCCCCGCGTGGGGGCCGTGGGGCTGGACCGCCGCTCTCCCCATAAACCGCTCACAGGGAGCACCCCTCGCGTTCCCTGCTCCCGGCCTTCCTGCAAGAACACGCTTGACCAGCTGCCGCTCTCGCTCATAATCTTGAAAAATAAAAGGTGTTTGTGACTTCAGAGCCTGGATTCCTGTCGGCCACTAAAGCTTGAAGGGAGGTGTAGTTGGTGTTTCTCTCTTTCCCCAAGTGACTTTAACTGTCATTTTAACCCAAAGGATTAATAAAAGTTCTTCCAGCATTCCGTTCTAGGACCTTCACCTTTCGCTGAAAGGGGGGCCTCCGCACACAGACTATATTTTTGCAAAGCCCCTGGCTTGAGCCACTCCTTTCCTGATGGCAGTTGGGCACAGCAGCACATGCCTTATTTCTTTGAAGACATAACATTTGTGACACTCGCTTCCTGGCCTCTCCCTACCATCTGCCCACTCTGTGTCTGCTGTAACCCTCACGGTTCAGACCAAAATGTCCGTTCTGGGAGCCAATCACATGTCTACACGGGGGCCTCTTAAAACCGTCCTGTGGGCGCCGAGCCCCCAGGTATAAAGGACGCTGACAGTGACGTTCTCACATCCTCCCCTCTGGATAACAACACAACCTTTGCTGGTTATTCTCTCCCCTCTTGGTTCAGAAGGAAGAGGCAAAGAGGAGGCCCGAGAAGTTTGGCTTCGCTCACCGCATGCTCTGATTCTACGGGAGGTAGGGGGGCTCAGCCTGGAGGTGACAGTGGAGCAGGGGCTGCCCTGACTTCACGCCCAGCTGTGCAGTTTGCCAGAATGAGTGCTTGTAACGAATGATCTCCACTAGGCCAACGGAAAGCTGTTTTCTGGTTGGTCATTTTCTTATGTCTCGACATTAAAAGATTGATACGTGAAAAAAAAAAAAAAGAATACCATAATGAGTTCACATTTGTATAAATTTCTTTTCAAGTCCAGAACCACAGAGTTTTATTCCTTTAACTCACAGCAACTTCTTCTCCCATGAGGAAAAACTGGCCGCCGATGAACCAACACAAATACGTCCTCACCCACCCGACTCTATGCTACATCCCATTAGACCACACATGCAAGATGGTCTTAGGGCAATACCAACACCATCATGAACAATATGATTACCAGAAACAAGGTAAATATTGTTTTCTGACCCTGGGGTAGATCCCCTGTAGATAAGTAAACTGTTCTGCTTTAAAGGAGCTTGAAATAGTTCCAGACTTACGGCTTGTCACCATCTTGACAAGTGGTTACGAGTAGTGTTGCATTTTGCTTTCAGTGGCTAGGAAAGGAAACTCTTGCTTGTTTGATTTATAATATTACAAAATGTTCACAGGGAGCAAGGTGTCCAGAGTGGCTGGGTAAGGGGCTCAGCACGTTCTTTCCCTAACTATCGGTGATGACAAAGGACATGATTTTCTAAATAAGCAATTTCAGAATTCTGGAAAATGACCAGAGATATACAATAGCTTGAGAAGTACTTACTCCAGAGCTACCTTACCCTCAGCAAGAACACAAGAGTGACTGACGCCAGCCTGCTCCCATCCCTCCCCTGGCTTGGTGATTCTGGAAGCCAAGGACCTACGGTTTTGCTGTCACCGGAAGGGTGTACCCACCCTGGAGCTCTGCAGAGAGGCCTCATGCCGAGGGAGGTTGTAGAAAATAATAACAATGGGTGGCAAAAATCAAAGGTCAACAAGACTGCTGCCTAGGGCTGCAATACCCGTTAAGGCAAAGAATAGAGCGGCCAAAATTTAACAGATGTCAGGGAAATGAGTCAGCCATGGTGGGGCCTGATGAGCTGTCATGTATTCCTAGAAGTGTGGAACGTCGCGCACATACTAAGGAGAGAGCATAGCGGGCCAGTTCTCTGCTTATCCCTGGCCAGACATGAAGCTTTGCACAGAAAAAGTAGAGGCCAGGGCAGATTTGCAAGCTGCTTGAATGGTAAATGTGTGTGTGCTCCAATCCATATGTGTCCCCTCGACAAAAGATGTAACCCTTACCAGTGCTGCTAAAACACAAATTTTAACCAAGAGAATTTGAAGATGTAATCGGCTTTATGAAACGATTCATGAATTGCGCAGCATCCCATCTAGGAAGTCGAGATGGGAGTGACTTCCAGGGAGGCAGGAAGTAGGAAGAAGGAGAAGAGGGGAGGGAGGGAAGGAAGGAAAAGAGATCCTCTTGCCGTGACCACTTTGCAGTGTAGACAAAGACCCAAGGATGACATTTTACGCCTGAAACTAATATAACACCAGTTGTCACCTCGATAAAAAAGCAAAGTGAGGAAGGCAGCCAGAATCCACAGAACTAGCCCAGGCAGGTAATGAAATAAACAAAACCACAATCAAAGAGCCTCAAATAACCACAAAGAGTGGATGAATAAAAAAAAAGATAGTATATTCATACCAGAGATCTTTTGAGCAATAACAAGAAATATGGAATGACTTACAGCCATATACTAGGTGGGAAAAAAAAAAGCCCAGATACAAAGATACAAAGAGTACATATAAGTGATTCTATTTTTTCCTTTTTTTAATTTTTCTTTTTTTTTTTTTTAATTTATTTTTGAGAGAGAGAGATCTAGAGAGCAAGTAGGAGAGAGAGAGGGGGATAGAATCCCAAGCAGGCTCCACACTGTCAGCACGGAGCCCGATGCTGGGGCTAGAACTCACAAACCGTGAAATCATTACCTGAGCCAAAGTCAAGACTGAGCCATCCAGGTACCCCTTTTCCTCTTTGTTTTAAGTTAAATTTAACTTACTTAATATACAATGTCATCTTGGCTTCAGGAGTAGAACCCAGTGATTTATCTCTTACATAGGACACCCAGTGCTCATCCCCAAAAGTGCCCTCCTTAATGCCCATCACCCATTTAGCCCATTCCCCCCACCCACCGCCCTACAAACCCTCAGTTTGTCCTCTGTATTTAAGAGTCTCTTATGGTTTATATAAGTGATTTTATTTTAATAAAATTACAGAAAAGACAAATCAAAGCTTAGCCATGTCAGTAAGCATACCAGTATTTGCAAGGATTCCTGGTTGGCAGTAGGTTTAGCTGCCAGTGGGTATGGGGGTAACTGGGGTAATGGGATGTGCTGTATCTTGACGGTGGTCTTGCTTACATAAGTGTATATGTATGTCAAAACGAATGGAATTGTATACTTAAAATAGATGCATTTTATGGTATGTCAATTATACATTTATAAAGTTGATTCGAAATTTCTACAATGAAACCAAAAAAATGTACCAAGTACAAAGGGCATCGACAGACTGAAGAAGGTGGGCATTGCATCTCTAGTCAAGTGGATATGGTCCCCACTGTTTCTTCCTCGACCAGTTCACGAGTGTGCCTGTCCCGTGTTTCAGGGTTTGACAAGTGTTACTTGAATTAGTGAATGAGTCTTGAAGAAAACAAAGTCCAGACAAAGGTATCTGAGATAGCACCACCCTTGGGGGGGTTTGTCTTCCATATACATCCTGTGCCTTGATCCCACCCCAATCCTGGGGACCGGCTCTCTTGTTCCATTTTGTTAACCATCAGCGACACGTCTGCCCCACCGCACACGTGGCTTGCTCACTCTTTCTCTCTTCGTGTTTGGAATAAGTTGGAAAGAGTAGCATCGTTGTATTTGGGGGAAAAAAGCTTGGCAAGGAGCAACGCTGCATTTTTCCTTAAGAGTTTAGTGAAAAAATGAGGGCGCTAAAGGGATATGGGATTTGGGGGCCACTTAAGAAACATTTAAAGAAAAAGGGAAACACCAATCCTTCAAAACCTAGAACCATGTCAGGAGTAAACATATGAGGAGAGACTGTCGATAGAACAGTGAGTCCAGCTTGGATATGGTTTGTTTGGGTTTGATTTTCACTGAGCACGTTTTACCCACAGAAAACACATCTTCATCATGATCACCGTCCTAAAGGAGTTTGCATATTGGAAGGGGAAGAACAACCTAAGGAGACGCTGTGCAGGGAGAAATGAGATGCACACCGAACAGAGTTGAAGGGCTTCCCACCAATGGGTCAAGGAAGACTCTGGAGGATGTGAACCATAATGGGTTTTGAAAGTTGAGGACTATGGAACGAATGGAGATTATAAGGGAGGCATTCCATAGAGGGTTACACAACTAGACTGGTTTGTGTGAACTGATGATCATAAAGCAGAAACAGGAAAAACAAATTAAATGGAGGGTGGAAAGAAGGGTATCGCTCTGATGTCCCAGGCTCCCGGGCCATTGGGGTAGGCGTGGCGAGGAAGCTCACGGGATGTCTTGATAGGAGCTGTGGAAGAGACATGGCAGACTCTGGGTGCGTTGGAGGAGTGAGGAGTCAGGAGACAGAAGCTAAGACGGGTAAAGCTGGAATGTGAGATCAGAAACTGGGAAGAGAGGAGGAAACCCAGAGAACTCACCAGCGCTTCTTAAACCACAATGCAACGACTATCAGAAGAATGAGGGGCACTGTCACAGCCAACAGGATCAAGTACATGGAAAGGTGGTGTCCTGTGGGTATTAGAGAGACACAACGGACGTCATTTTTGACCCACTGCCGGTTCGACTCTGTCCACTGATTCCCCATCTCAACAGGTGCATCGGATATGAGTGCTGTCTTCGAATAACCTTGTCACTCCGTTCTCACACCTGCCCGGAGGAGGGTGCCTCATCTCTTCCCCAAGCCTCTGACATCCGAGCCCCCCTTGTGCTCCATCCTTACTTTCCTGAAATCACTTGTATTCATTCTTTCCTGATACCGCACTCCCCCCGTTCTGGTGCCATGAAACTTTCCTCTGCCCAACCCTCTAGGCTCAAGAGCCACCTTCTCCCACCTACAGGCTCTACCTTACTCACCCCAGTAGAGGACCACGTCCCGGCCTCCTAGACTGCTGTGTCTCACCCGGCAAGACAGGCCGGCTGCCTCTTGTGCTACCACGTCCAGGGTCACCCGAAGATACCACGTCCCGTCGGCGTGGGGCAGGACGTCGCCTCGCCGGGCGCCCGGCTGCTCCTGCTCACCCCGCATCCACGTCACCCACACTGGCTTCGGGTAGAAGCCGGAGACGTGGCACACCAGCAGCAGACGGCCAGGACCGGGACTGGGGCCACTGGACAGCCAGGCCACTGGCCTCACTGCAGAGGGCATGAAAGGTATTCAGACGGAGATTCTGACACACAGCTCAAGGGGGTAACCGCGTCGGTATGTACATATTATCCTGCTCTAGGAAACTTGTACCCAGAAAATCCTAACCTCCTTGAACTCGTCCTTGTCCCTACTTTGAAAGGGATGGTGGGAAGGGGCGTGTATAGAAAAATCTTAGAGGCAGGGGCCGTACAAACCTTGCTTCTGGAGATCCACCTTCCCTGCATCGAAGAGACCCAAGGCAAATCGGGGACAGGTGTTTGTGGTGAGGCTGTGCACCGTTTCCCTGATGGCTTCATACTGGTTCATGAGGTCACAGGCGCTCTGGGCTCTGCTATCACTCTCTAGAGATGGCACCCAGGACATGTTTTGGAAGCTCAGGAAATCTGATCCTTGATAAGCTGCCCGTAAGAAGCCTTTTGCAATGTCACTAGAATGTAGCTCACAGCCAGCTGCCACCTGTATTTCCATGGGATCTGGGAAGAAGGAGGAAGGAGAAAGACAGATTTGTGGGTGGGAAAATGAGACAAATGATATAAGGACTTGATTGAAAAGTGGAGCCAGAAGGTTTTGTAGAGGTGTGGGCGTAAGCCAAAGATGTGTTTGATCAGGAAGAAGGAAGAGAATTCGGGGGATGGGGAAGGGGCCATAAGGATACGTGCCAAGAATTAAGAATTTGATTTGAAGAAGTCAGGGAAATGATAGTAAAGTGGAGGTCAGAGTCCACGTGAAGGGTCTCCTGCAAGTAGAGGGCACGTGACATGGGTCGTAATGGTTGCTGGGCTGTAGCATAAGCCTTGGAAGCACCTGAATGGAGGAAGAGATCACAGTTTAAGGGAGTCAGGCACAGAGGGGCACGACTGTGTGTCTCTGTGTTTTAGGCCGCAGAACGGAGACCACTGAGGAAAGCTAAAAATGAGCAAGAAAAAAGGAGTCAGAAGAAGAAAGAGTCTAGGGAGTCTTGAGGAGCCCAAATCTGGAAGGACCCCCGAGTTGATTCATGAAGATGTTTATCGTGGGACAGGAACAACAGGCAATGGTCCCGAAGGGTGTGCGCATGCCTCCCGGAAATCGGAGCACCTTCCGAGGGAACTTACATTGGAAGTGCAATTGACCGGCATACTCTTGAGTCTCCCGAGTTAATCCGATGAAGTAGACGCGGAACAGAAGCTCCAGGTCGATCAATTCCTCGTTGCTGAAGTTGCCCTTAGACCACGAGTGCAGGAAAATTATCGTGCCAGACTCGCTGTCCCAGCCGTGAGTCTGAATGTCACCCAGCCAGCCTGAGCCCTGATGCTGTGCCCAGGATTGGTTGGCAAAGGAGAAGATATGGGCAACATGGAACGAGAGGGGTTCCTGGGCTGCTGTGGGTAGTAGAGCATCAGGTCGTTTAAGGGAAAAAAAGAAGCAAGCAGGAAAGAGAAGTTGGGAAGTAAAGCAGTTATGAAGGAGGAGAGGAGAGACAGAGAGGGCAGGGGGAGATGTTTAGGGAGGAGCGAGAGGGGGGGGTGGAAGGGGGGGGAAAGGGGGGGAGAAGGGGGAGGGGGGGGAGAGAGGGGCAAGGCACGACGAGGTTAATGATGACCTTTCCCTGACTCGGGGCCCCACGCTTGCCACCTTTCAAAGAGCAGACCTAACCCGGGCCGGGACCTCTCAGGGTGCGGATGCTCCAGCCACCTGAGAATCCCGATCGTCTTGGGAGAGGCCGCCGGGCTCTGCCGGGAGCTGGGGACCGGGCGGGCGGCAGAGGCTCTTACCTCGTGCACCATGACCTCCCAGGAGAAGGGCAGCCAGCAGGGTGACCTGTAGAGACACCATGTCACCTGGAGAGGTTTCCCCACTCCCCTCTGTTTTCAGCCAACCTTCCTGGCACTGTCTCTGCTCTGACTTCCTTCTTCCACCGACAAGCCGTCCTCCCCCCCAACTGCTGATTGCAATAAAAAAGCTCTGCTGCTCCCTCTCCAGCCTCCAGCCTCCAGCCTCCAGCCTCCTACGCGGGCTTTCATTTCCCCTCCAGCTCCCACCAAGCCTGTCCCCCTGCCTGGCTTCCAGCTCCACTCCTTGTCTCCACCCCCCACCATGCCCACTTCCCTCCTCGAGGATCCCGTAGGGAGTTGTGTGTGACACTGGAGCGTCACCGCGCCTCCCTGAGACTCACGTCTCATCGCTACAGCAAAACACAGAAACCGCACCGTTTGGCTGTGTCCTGCTTGTTCTAACAGATCAGGGGTCCAGCTCTGCCTCTGTCCCATCCAGCCTCCCCCCCCCTCTGGATGGTCCATCCCTCTCCTCCCCTTTCCAGAATCTTCAGAGTCTGCTCTTTCCCGCCTCACCCCGTATCCCCCCACCTTTCTCCTCCCCTGATTCTCGCGGGCACCTTTGTAAGTTGGAGGATTTGTGTTCTCAGGTCTGCGCCACCTCCCCAGGCACCTTGATAAGCCATCGCCGGCTCCCCCTTCCCCCGAGAGAGGAAAGTGCAGCCACCCCAGAGTGCACAGGACCATGAAAAGTGTAAAGAATTTGCCTGCCTATTGAATCTAACTCATACATCCATTCACCAAAAAGTCACTCAACACATGCTTGGTTCCAAGCATCTTAACGGAGTCGTGAACGGATAGAGCCTGACAATGCGTTCAGCCAATGCAGAAGTGGATTTTCAGCCAAGAAGTGAATTCGGGGACACGTTTGTCAGCATTGATAACAAGGCTGGAAATCACACTCAGTGAGCTCTTTCTTTCTTTCTTTTTAAAGTTTATTTGTTTTGAGAGAAACAGAGACAGCGTGAGTGGGGGGAGAGGCAGAGAGAGAGAGGAAGAGAGAGAGAATCCCAAGCAGGCTCCCCACTGTCAGCATAGAGCCTGACTTGGGGGCTCGAACCCGCGAGGCCATGAGATCATGACCTGAGCTGAAACCAAGAGCCGGACGCCTAACCGACTGAGCCACGCAAGAGCCCCTCGGTGAGCTCTTTCTATTATGGCCACAGATACCTGGCGATTTCCACGTGCCACAAACTTCCAAGAGCCACCATCCACAATTTCAGCCCCAGCCAGATCTCACTCACGTCCCAGATCCTGTCATCGCCCAAATCTTCTTATTAATGGCAAACTCTGGTTTTAGGAGGCCACAGTCCACACAATGCTGTGTGGTTATTACATTTTTTCCCATGGGCTCGTAGGAAAACTACAGCTCCCTGCTTCCTCGCCTTGGGGCTGGGGCCGCTGAGCTCTGGGCATGGAATGTGTTGTGCTTCAGACACTGAAGCCTCTGGCCACCTTCCCTGCAGGATTCTGAGAACCGCTGCCTCCAGTAGGAGTTTCCGAGGCAGAGGCCACGGGCCATTGGCTGGCATCAGAAATCAACCGTGTTGTATTTGGTCTCTAAGATTCTCAAGTTCACTTATTTTTTTTTTTTTAAGTTTATTTATTTATTTTGAGAGGGAGAGAGAGACAGATGG